GATTTCTTCAGTGACATGACTTCTTGATACCATAGACCTGGAGTGGCAATTTCAGTGCATAGCATCTGAATTATATGTTTTTAATTCATTTTCCTGGAAAGCAGCAATGTTTTTAAACTGACACTGTTGTAGATAGTTCCTTGTTATGAAATATAATACATTTGTATAAAGTATCATCAATATATATATATATATATATATATATATATATATATGATTTCCCACCTGATGAAATATTTAAAAAAATTCTTAACATTGAAACAAGTTTTGTAGTGGGTATGTACATGTTCTAATGTAACACTGCATAATAAATAAATATTTATAGCGCTACTTTTGTATTGAGCCCTGTTTTAAATTAATGTTTTGAACCCTGAAATCTTACCCTTTGTTCTTTTACATTTGGATATATATATATATATATTACGATAAACATGCAATCAATTTACAAATACATGAATTATTCACACAAAACTAATGCAAAGGTTAATGATTTAAATGGCGAGACATCCATCATCGCAAACAATTCAAATAATATACAAAAACCTCCGTATCCATTATGAATGAAATGATCCTTGTTTATATAAATTTCTGCCGTATTAGTTCTTATTTTTACTACAAGCTTTCGTCTGTTCCTACAGACATCTTCAGGTATATAGAATAGATGTTGTTCTTGTTTTTTCTCTTAGTAATAAGAGGACAACGAAAATATATGTATTGTTGTATCCGAAAATGCTATTGAAAATGAGTTACTGTTTTTGGAGCGCCGCTAAAGCAACGCTGAGTTTGATTTTAAATTTTTAAAGGTTGTGCGTTCATATATGGTGATGAACAAATTTTTTACTGGTAAATTTTACTGTCAAAGTGGCATGAACTATATTGTTCAATAATTACAGCAATGTTCCCACTTATTATCCAAAAGTCGCACTTGGATCAGTTATTTAAATTACGATAAACGTGCAATCAATTTACAAATACATGAATTATTCACAAAAAATATACATATATATATATATATATATATATATATATATATACATATATATATATATATATATATATATATATATATATATATATATATATATAGGTTCTTATAGTCGTTTTAGTTGAAAGAACTTCCCAAAACTGCCCAAATAACCAATCATAAATCCTTGGTTGGCTGTCCTTTCTTGATCTAGACAAATATCTATCTATCTATCTATCTATCTATCTATCTCTCTCTCTCTCTCTCTCTCTATATATATATATATATATATATATATATATATATATATCATTCTATGCATATCCATCTATGTCAGACTATTCATATATATATATATATATATATATATATCATTCTATGCATATCCATCTATGTCAGACTATTCATATATATATATATATATATATATATATATATATATATATATATATACTGATACTTATACTGATACTTTCCAGATATCTAATTCCCATATGTGATTGAAAGCGTAATATGTGGAGTGAGTAGCCATGGTTTAATGCAAAATAAGTTGCAGAGTGGTTTAACAAACTGAATTGACAAAGTTTCCAATATGCAATAACAAGAAAAAAGGAAAGAACAGGGCCCCCAAAAAATAATAAAAAGCAAGGAAACATTATTTACATTATTCGGACTATTGTCCTCATCTTTATCGCCATATTTATTACAACGTTTTGGCTGTTGTATGCTCCAGCCTTCTTCTGGTGGTTGGAATATCGAACTGAACCCATTAGGGTAGACTGTTCTATTTCCACGTGCCATGTTTAACTAGAACATGTGGAACTAGAACAGTCTACCCCAGTGAGTGAAATAAAGGATTCAGTTTGACATTCCAACCACCCGAAGAAGGCCGGAGCATACAACAGCCAAACTGTTGTAATAAATATGGCGAGAAAGATGAGGACAATAATCTAAATAATGTAAATACCTCATCTCAGAAATATACATAGATACTGTAGGGCCAAAACGTTGTAATAAATATAGCAACAAAGATGAGAACAATAGTTCGAATAATGTAAATAATGTACATAATATTTCATCTCAGAAATATAGAGAGATATTGAAATGTCGAAACGTTGTAATAAATATAGCAGCAAAGATGAGGACAATAGTCCGAATAATGTTAATAATGTACATAATACCTCATTACAGAAATATAGACAGATACTTAAAGGCCGAAACATTGTAATAAATATGGCAACAAAGATGAGGACAATAGTCCGAATAATGTAAATAATGGACATAATACCTCATCTCAGAAATATAGACAATAAAGAAACAATATATGCAAGGCGAATTAACTGTAATAAGGCAAAGAAAAAAGTTCTCAAACTAAGAATTAGAACTGGCCTATTTTATTTGCTAGGAAAAAAATCTCAGTATGCATTTGTGTGCTTTTGTCTATAAAATGGGGAGGGGAAAGTATTTTGCTGTCATTCCCTAAGAGATTAGAATCAACAGACGAACTTATTGTACTGCGATAAAATCTGCATTCCATTGTGATAGTGACTTTTAAAAACACATGTGAATGCACTCTGTTACAGTTATTTTAAAATTTTTAAATTTATCTGTTGTAGTTATGGAATTCCTGTCCACCTTCACAATACAGGAAAATACTTGTTGACAATACCAATATACTATACTACAAAAAATAATAAACAAAAATATATCAAAATCAACTAACACTCAACAAAATTTATTATGAATATAGCAACAATATATTAAAGTGCATATAACAAACATTTAATATTTCTACCAAATTCCGATCAGCTCCCTGATATTGAAAAGCTTGTTTTGCAAAAAATTCCATAAATACAATGGAAAAATTAAGTAGACACTATATATATATATATATATATATATATATATATATATATATATATATATATATAACTGATAGAAATTAGGAGGATTTGAAATAAGCATAATTAAGCAATACATTGAGTCTAGAAGAAACCTCAACAGAATATCAAGTCTGATTCACTACCACTTCATCACCGAGGCCTGTTGGAACAGTTGGTATGATGTTTGACTGATAATGCAACTGTTCGAGTTTTGATTCTCAGTAGTGGATGAGCACCTGCTGATGAGTCCCAAATATAGGATGAAATGGCCATCCAGTGCTTTCTGCATTCTGTTGAGGTTTCTTCTAGATTTGATGAATTACTTAATTATGATATACATATATATATATATATATATATATATATATATATATATTCATGAATATTTTTCCGTATAATACAACATAATAATATAATATACATAAAATATGTATATATATATATATATATATATATATATATATATATATATATATATATATATATATATATATATATATATATATATATATATATATATATATATATATATATATATATATATATATATATATATATATATATATATATATATGTATATAAAAGTATACATTGAAGTCAACACTTAGAGGTAATATGTTGTTTCATGCGAGACGCAATTGTCATGGCCTGACGATTGTTGTCTAGCATGAAACAGTCTATCGACTCTAAGTGTTGACTTCAATGTTCACTTTTATATTAACTCATGATATCTCTGATATTGAGCACATTATCCCATAAATATAGCACACCTTAAGACTATATTTCTTCATATATATATATATATATATATATATATATATATATATATATATATATATAAATAAAAAAGTGAACATTCAAGTCAACAATATATATATATGTGTGTGTGTGTGTGTGTGTGTTTGTGTATTTATATTTTGGGTTCTTATGAGTCGAGAAGCATCTGCATGGAACAAGAATGCATCCTTGTAATGAGTAAGTTGTTTTTTTTGCATATGTAAAAATTATAATATATATATATATATATATATATATATATATATATATATATAAATTTTAAATGAGTAAGTTGTTTTTATCCATATATATATATATATATATATATATATATATGGAGTAATGGATAGCGGCTTGGATTGAGGAATTGCAGAGCCGAGTTCGAATTCCATTCGAACCCACTACATTCACTTACATGCTAATACCCTTGAGAAAGGTATGAATCCTCTTCTTCTCCCTCCAGCTATGGGCAAAATAGCAGGACAGACCGGGTTCTATAGCCTTGGATGGCAACTGGTCTAGGAGAAGGACAACTCTGAATTCAAAACCTGCGGAGGGTCGTTTGGGAACCTTGTGGCACTTAGTGCACCAGGTCTCTGTATCATCAAATCTCATGTGTTGTTGTAGGGCTGTCGGTTTCCTGGAAACTGGTCTGCTTGACCCTCATATATCAAAATCGATGGGAGAATTGACTATATTATTATTATTACTTCAAAGATTATTTTTAGTTGATATCCGTACTTGAAATAAATTCTTCATTCTTATTTCAATCCATGTGCACTCCTATTGTACTATTGTCGAGCACAAACAAGAAAACTTATTAACGAAAATGTTCTCCCTGGCAGTGTTTAAACTTGTGTCCTCCTTTATAGGAGAAACCACCATTTGATCTGGGTTTTCAAGAAAAATCTAAATGATGAACAGTGCTTTCCTTAAAACAGAAACAGAACATTGTTGCACTGTTCACCCTCGGTTGTCATTACAAAGAAAAAATAAAAGAAAGAAAGAGTTTGTCACTTCCTTTTACAGTCTTGAATAGAATGACACTTAACAAGCATCTTGGTGGTAATCCCCATATATAATTTATTTTATTTTAAGACATCAAAATGAAATCAACAAAAGCATTTCATTCTGTTTCCATTAGAGTTATTTTCAGTCTCAACCTTTCAAAGAGTAAAAATCAAAACTGGTGGTTAATAATTTCAATTGTTACAATTATAAAATAATGGTAATGGTAATATTAACCATTTCCTTAAAAGGAAACATTCAGCATTCATTGACAAAGCAGCCAGTTCTACATTCAGTTGAATTTTATAAAATCTTCCTGTTAAAACCACAAGATACAATTTACATTGTTAAAAAAAATGGGGTTTCTATTAAAATGATAGACGAGAGAGACTGAAGAAGAAAAAGTATGTTATGTCAAGAGAGAAGGAGAATGGATGTGAGAGAAAGAAAGTGATAGTAAAGAGAGAGAAGAAAAAGTAGATCACAAGGGAAGGGATTGGGGAGAGAGAGAGCTAGAGAAAAAGGTTTAGTAGAAAGAGAATAGGAAGATTGGGGAGAGAAAGTGAGAGAAATTAATGGTAAAGAAAGAGTAAGAGAGACATTCAAGTCATTAACTGACAGTGGCATAAATCTGACAACACAATTAGAAGAAACTTTGAACTGAACCCTTTATTTCGCCCACCGGTGGTAAATTGTTCTAGTTCCACGTGCCATGCCTCTTCTGGATGTCTCAGTTATTTCCCTTTAACTCAACTCTTCAAGTTTGGTTCACCACAGGCTTGGTATTGAAGTCACAACTCTCTGGGTCAATTCAGTGGATCTAACCCAAAATCTTTGAGTTGAGTTAAAGGGAAATAACTGAGGCATGGCACATGGAACTAGAACAATCTACCCTGGCAGATGAAATAAAGGGTTTGGTTCACAATTCCAATCACCTGAAGAAGGCCAGGATGTACATTGTGAATATGGCAATGAAGATGAGGATAACAGTTTGAATAATGTAAATAATGTAAGTAATCATAATACCGCCTCTCAGAGATATAGACAGAAATTAGAAGAAATATCAGTATACTATATATAAGCCCAATCCAGGTATAATGCAACCAATCATATTTTTTCTGTGAAAAACCTGATTTTTTTTCATATAGTTCTTGTATAATGTGACCCCAGATCCTGAGCAATACAAGTTGGCCTACTGTAGTTAAATATTCCAGTATTGGATATCATCCTAGACATATTTTATAGCAAATGAATTGTCTTTATTCTTTTTTGTTCAATGCTAACCCCACTAACTTTTATCTCTCTTTTCAGTACTGTTGAGTTTTTCCTTCTTAAGCTTTTGTTCAGAATATTCTGGAACACCAACATCTTGATTAGGTCAATATTTACTGTCTGAGTTACATGTGTCATTCATTTTAGTTGTTGCTGCTGTTGAAAGATTTCAAGTGATGTGGTTTCTGTTATTTGGTACAGTTCTTTGTGATTTTGTAGTGCCAGTCCATAAGGTTTGAAGAAAGATGGCTGTCACTAAGACCTACAAGCTTTATTCACTTGATAATATTTTTAATCATTAATCTGAGAAAATGGTTGCATACAACTAACAGTTTAGATATTTCTGAACAAGTCTGGCACCAGGCAAGACATCTATATCAAAGTCTTAATCAGATAAAGCTATTTAAGAACATGACTTGAGACTTTGGGTTAATGTCTTGGTTTTGTAGCTGTTTGCTGTGTTTTGTGAAACTACCCCAAATTGACTTCTGAAGGTTAGACATGTTGCTGAAAAATGCTTAGGAAGTGTAGCCAATAGTAGTACAATTGGAGTACGCATTGTTTAAAATAAGAATGTATTTCAAATATGGGTATACACTAAAAATACTCTTTGAAGTAATAATAATAATATATATATATATATATATATATATATATATATAAAATGTAAATCTATATAAACACAGTGTGTGAAAAACGTAGATAGCACAATTTTCAAATAAACTGGCATTTGAAGAAAAACTGAAAAAAAGAAAGCATCAGAAACCTCTGAACAGAATGAAAGAAATCATCCAATACCTTAAATCTATGATACAAAGAAAAAAACAGCTACTTGCTCTTTATATATATATGTATATATATATAGCATGATTTTTTTGTAACAGTTATTTCTGAAGAAAGATTGAGGTCAATCTGAAATATCAAATATATATATAAATAAATACTTTCATAAAAAAATTATTATTTTTTTAATTTGCAACTTTTTCTATATATATATATATATATATGTGTGTGTGTGTGTGTATGTGTGTGTGTAAGTTTTTATATATATATAAGCTTTTTGAATTTGTAAGTCTGATGAATTGGGTTGTGATTACAATTCCAATGTAAAAAATTATAACCATGAAATATTAGTGTTTGAGCCTTTTATATCATATTCTTGCTCTGTCTTTGACATAAAGCTCTACCTGGATTTTATCCTCTTGGAAATATATATATACTGACCACTAATATTATTACTATATATATATATATATATATATATATAGCGTTGACTTCAATGTTCATTTTTATATTTACATATATATATATATATATATATATATATATATATATATATATATATATGTGTGTGTGTGTGTGTGTGTGTGTGTGTGTGTGTGTGTGTAAATGTGTATTTAGGCAGCAGCAAATTTTCTTTTAGGCATGTCTGATTGAATATATTACAATGTCTGCTTATTTTTATCATAATCCTTTCATACTCATGAATATTTTTCCATATATTACAATATTATGTTATAATATACAGAAAAAATGAAGGAAGTGTAACTAATTTTAAAGGCCTTATCTTTTTAAAACTGACAAAAAGAAAGCATCAAAATCAGCAGCAATTTTCTATCTCCCTATTGTCATTTCTTTCTTTCCATCTTTTCATCGTCTGCTTGGTGAATATCATAATCAGCCAATCATCTGTTGTTTTTCGTTTGCTTTTATTTATTGGTTTATTATTTGTTTTGTTTTAAGACATCAAAATGAAATCAACAAAAGACCTTCCATCCCGTGTCGATCAGATTTTTCTTGATCTCAACTTTTCAAAGGGTAGAATATGAAACCCGTGGTTAATAAGAAACAGGTGTTTTAAAACGGTGACCTTCTGAATTCAAAGAAATATGGTAAGTTGATCTTTGTTCTCAAAGACCTTTTTGTGAATATTGTTCGGGACATCTTATCCATAATTAGATACCTTGAAATGCCCCAGTGGGACATTTTCTTCACATCACAGACCTTTATGTCTTGATAGTTGGCTTGGAGCAGTAAGAGAAAAAATGAGTGGCTATTGTTATAGGGTATAATGGGAGCATCTGTTGCACTTGTACAAAGAAAGCAAGAAAATATAGGGAAGAGTAGGAAAAGGAGGAGGAGGAGGAGAAAGGGCTGAGAAGAATGTAATTACTTTTTTCTGAGAGTGAAAGAAAGAAAAGTGGGGATAAAATATATGAATGTGAAAGGAAGAAGAGAAGATGAAACTGAAAGAAAAGGAGATGATCATCAAGATATAAAGTAAGGGAGGAAGGAAAAGAAGAAATGTAAGAAGAGAAAGAAGGAAGGAAGGAAAGAAGGAAAATCAGAAATTATAACATAACAAAAGAATAAAAATAAGAAAAGCAGTGGCCTAAGGTAAAATAAAGTACAACTTAAAAGGAAAAAAAAGAAAAATTAAATTAAAAAAAAATGTAAAATGCAAGAAAGAAATAAAGAAAGAAATTTTTTTAAAAGAAATGAAGAAAGTTGTAAACAAAAAATATGTAAGAAAAAGGACAAAAAATAAAAAAGAAGAAAATAGAAAAGAGAAAAAATAGAGAAGAAAACAATAAAAAACAAAAGTTAATGAAAAGAAAATTAATAAAAATGATAAAAAAATGAAAATAATGAAAAAGAGAATAGAAAAATCAAGGGAAATTAAGAAATAGAAAGAAGGAAGGAAAAGAAAGAAAGAAAAGAGAATAAAAAAGAAATAAATAGAAAAGAGAGTAAAGAATGAAAATGGCAGAAGAAGGAAATTGATGAAAATAAAAAAGAAAAAAATTGAAAGAAAAAGAGGAAGAAAAAAGTAATAATAGGAGAAAAAGATAAAAACAATAAAACTTAAAAGAAGATTAATGAAAAGAAGAAAAAATGATAAAAAATGAAGGAAAACAAAAAGAAAAAATAAGAAAAAGAAAATGAGTAAGAAATAAAAAAAATTTGATAAAAAGAAAGAAGAAAAATAATGAAAAAAAAAATAAAGATAACAAACAAAAAAATAAAAGAAAAATGGGTAAAAGGAAAAAGGAAGAAAGAAATTTAAAAGGAAGAAAAAGAAGAAAATGAAATGATAAAATAAAATGCTAGAAACCAAACTGATGAAAGAAAAGAAACAAAATTGAATAAAAAGAAAGAAGAGGAAGGAAATCAAAAAGAAAGAAAAATGGAAAAAGAAAAACTGAGCACAAAATAAAAAGAGAGAAAAATAAAATTTATGAAAAAATAAACAAAAAAAATGAAGAGAATAACAAACGAACAAAAAAGAAAGAAAGAATTTTGTAAACTAATAAAAAAGAAATATGAAACAAATAAAAAATGTATAAAAAAAGGAAGTAAAAAGAAAAAATGAAAGAAAAAAGATAAAAAAATATAAGAGAAACAAAAGTAAATTGAAGAAAAGAGAGAAAAAATGAGGGAAAAAGAAGAAGGAAAATATAGCAACAAAATGTTTATTTTAATATAGTGGGTGATTACAAGTGAAAGAGGAGATGTGATGGGTTTATTTTATTACCACAGAAAACAAAAAGAAATAAGAAAAAGGGAAAAAACAACGATGAAAGAATAAAACAATAGAAAATCAATACTGATGAAAAAATAAAAAAAATGGAAGATAATGAAATAAATAAGTATTATCCAGTTCAGACTCCTCCCAAGTCAGGTGTAAAGGTTTATCCATTGTTTCCTGTTTAGGTTGAGTTTCTGCTTCCTTCTAAAATCTTCTCATTCTCTTTCACTCCCAGTAGCTTTTGGTGTCTTAGTAGCTGTGCTTGTAGTGAACTTAAAAAAAAAATGAAAAGGAGTAAAAGAAAAATAGAAAAGATTTTTTTTTTAAATTCCAGAAAGATATTGTAAAGAAAGAATAAGGAAACTGAATTAAAAAAAAAAAGTGTTAAAAAGAAAGAAAAAAATAAAAGAATAATTAATAAGTCGCAAGACTGAAAAAAAGAAAGAATGAATTTATGAAACGTGAGCAAAAATTTCCAGCAAAATCACCATTGTATTTAGTTTCTAATTTTCAGCAAAGGGAACTAAGATCTTTTGCACACACTTAGTTCATAAACGAAGAAAAATTAAAAAAGAGAAAGAAAATGAAAGAAAAAAAAAAGGAATTACAGAAAATAAATGTCCATGAAACAAAAGATAGCCAAATAACTATGAAAGCGTTTTTGAATAACGGTATCCATTAGTGATTGCTGTTCTTCAAAAGTAGACACAGGTGTGTTGCCTGTTTGGAAATAATATTAATTAAAACAAAAAAAAAATGCCAGAAAGACTGGAATAGAAAAAAAAATAGAGTGAACTTATTACCATAACGAAGAAAAAAAACGACTCATTTTGCATTTCCTTGTCTTCCTGTTTTCCTTTTTGTCTCCACTCCTCGTTTATTTTTCAACTTATGATCCGTCTTCCAAATAAAAATATCAGGAGAATTATCTCTACTTGAAGCATTAATTAAATATAAAGCATTATCAGTGGGTGGTTTGGAAAGAGGTGGGAAGCAGCCTCTTGAAAAGGGGAGAGAAATATTGTAGGACTCTTTACAAATCCTTCCAATTAAGATATGGCTCAAGCAGAACAAAAACAAAAAGATAATCATTATAAAAAGAAATGCAATAAACAGACACAGAGGATGGAACTTTGATAGAATTGGTGGACAGACAGGTGGACAATACACAGACAGATGGGTAATGAATTTAAGTGGGTGTTGTGAAGTGGAATTGGTCAGGGATGGAGAAAGAAAGTACTTGGATACATAAATTAACAGATTGTCACAGTGAAAAAGTTGAGATTAACTTTGACAAAGAGTTCACCTCCAAAAGGACAGAATTAAAAGAATGAGAGAATAATTATAGATATAGATATAGATTTAAGGAAAATTCATGATAAAAGGGGTGGGAACGGGACAATGGCTTACTCGATAAAAGTGTTGGTTCATGAATTTAGTGACATAGATATTGTGAGTTCAATCTCTGAGTTAGGCAATGTGTACTTGCACTCGGTGAGCAATAACTGAACAGTATTAAATAAAAATAATAACTAGACAATATCCCGAGACATGAGCAGTGGAACGAGAACAGTCTATCTCCATAGATTGAATAAAGGGTTCAGTTGAGAATTCCCTGTAGATTACCCAGATGATATACACTTGAGGAACAGTATTAAATAAAATAAAAGCTAGACAATATCTCTAGAACTAAGCAGTGGAACAAGAACAGTCTATCTCCATAGATTGAATAAAGGGGTCAGTTGAGAATTCCCTGTAGATTACCCAGATGATATACACTTAAGGAACAGTATTAGATAAAATGAAAGCTAGACAATATCCCTAGAACTAAGCAGTGGAACAAGAACAGTCTACCCCCATAGATTAACTAAAGAGTTCAGTTTGGAATTCACCGTAAGTTTTCTCAGATTGATATACACGTGAGAAAGTGATCTGACGACAACAAAGATGAGGACAATAGACCAAATGTAAATAATGATAACTCCTCACCCCAGAAATTCAGACAAAAGGTATATATGTATCTATTTATATCAATATAGATATATATATATTAGGGTCATGACTTTTTCATAATCCTATGTTCTTGTGTCATAAATTGATTAAATTTTGTTCCAAAGTAATGAAAAAGGCATTGATTTGTTTTAGTTCTTGAAAAGACTTACACCAAACTGAAAATTTGATTTTAACATATACGTAATAAGGGCAAATCATTTAAGAAGCTTTCTTCTTCAATTTGTTAATGATGTAATTGAATAATATTTACGTATTTTTAACACATTTAACAGTTTATGGCTATAGCTTAACATACTAAATTACAAATAAACAAAAATTTCAAAATTGCAGAGGCTCTATTTTGAATTTGTTAATCATGTCATTGTATAGTACTTATGTATTTTTAATGCATTTAACAGTTTATAGCTATAGCATAACATACAAACTTACAAATAAAAACAAGTTCTACAAATCTCCAGAAAATTCTAGATGACTCCATGAAATCATAGAACTATTATACTTATATACAATTTTAGAAACTTCGGTTGGCGGTGATATTTTAAAAAAAATAAACTGAAAAAATTAAAGCAATTTTAATTATTTTTGAACACAAGTTCATCAAATTAAGATACAAGAAATCAATTCTTTTACAAAATATCCAAAATTCATAGCTCTAATATATATATATATATATCAGGAAAATTAATGAGAAACTTGGAAAAACTTTTTGCATGACACATTTTATCCTTTAGAACTTCAATGGATTAAAGTGACGTTTATGTTGATGTGAATGTACAGGAAGGAGAGGGCACAATGAAATTTTAAACTTTTAAAGTGTTTTTTTTTTCTTTTAATGTGTGTTCAGGTATAGAGTCTAGCCAATTTCATTTAGTTTTTTTGTTTATATTTTTTATCACTTTTGTTATTAAACATCATGAAAACAGAAGATCTGCCAATAAAAATGAATTGTTGCAAGAACCTGAACAAATTTACTGTGGATTATCTAGTAATTACAGCACTTTGTATACATTCTCGTCTAAGTAATTTTCCTTCTCTTTTAACTGAATTATCATATTTTAAATCAAAATTATGTCCTGACTCATTATGGTGAGCAACTAAAGCATTTAACATGTTGTTTTGTAAAACTTCCCTTTTTTGTTCATATAATTATTTATTTAAATTCCTTGGGGTTTCTTATATATTTCTTGTGGAAATTTTTATAGATGATAGTGTAAATTCCTCCATCATATTGTACTTTATTATTATTTTGTTTTGTAATAATTAAGTCTTTTATTGTTTTAGAAGTAATTGTAATAAATTTTATGTTAAGCTTAGATAAATCCTATTCAATTGCAGTTGTGATTTATTTGGTAGGCAAAATAATATATTTTTATTTGTTGACTTTGTATCATAATGGTCCACTCTTTTATTTGAAATATTTTCGGCCGTGTCCCTTCAGGACTTTGGTGACCATGGCTCTCCCCAATTTCCTGTCCTTTGTAGCTCTTAATAACTCTTGTATTTTTGCCATCTCTGACAAACCATGCTCTGCCATCCATTCACTCATTTTCACCAGGTAAGATGTGGATTGCTTCCATCGGGAGCTCTTACCTCCAATCTGTACTGTGAGTATCAAATTCTCCAAACACTCTTTCTGTGCCAATTTCAACTATCACTTCCTGATGTTAAGAATAAGTGTTCTTTTTTTATGCCATTTTTCTCTTTTTTAATATATATATATATATATATATACATATATATATATATTTTAAGCATTTCACCCCAGGCAAGGCAAGATTGTCACTAGTACACTAGGGGCTACAGAGTGTAAGTAAGGGAAAAGACTGTGTTAGTGTAGGGGGATGGAAAAAGGATAAAAAAAGAACAGAGGAGGATAAATAGAACAGAGATCAAGGCAACACAAGATGTTATATATATATATATATATATATATATATATATATATATATATATATATATATATATATATATATATAATATTAGTGGAAAATATACATACATATGCAAAATATATAAATACCCATACATGTATATTTTTAGAAAAAAAAAATCCGAGAGGAAGAATCCAGGTAGAACTCAATGTCTAGGACAGAGTAAGGATATAATAAAAAGACTTAAACACTAATATTCCATGGTCATAATTTATTCCATTGGAATCGTAAATACAATCCAATTCATCAGACCTACAAATTCAAAAAGAATATATATATATATGGAAAGACTAGATAGATAGATAAATAGATATAAATAGCCAAAATAGATAGATACATAGAGAAAAAGAGAGATTTGAACAGACCATGATAGATATATAGATAGGCAGATATATATATATATATATATATATATATATATATGGAGAGAGAGAGAGAGAGAGAGAGAGAGAATGAGATACACGGATATGAACATAGACATGAACAGAACAAAATAGATAGAATTAAACAAAGATATATATATATATATATAAAGAGAGAGAGAGAGAGAGAGAGAGAATGAACAAACCATGATAGATAGATAGATAGATAGATAGATAGATAGATAGATAGATTATATGTGACACATTTCATCTATTAGGACTTCATTGAACTGGACTTGTTGAATTTGTCATGATGACACGTGCAAGTATGAGAGATACTGGTAGTTTCCAATCTTTAAAAAAAAAATTTGAAACTACCAGCATCTATAAAGTGCATCACAAGTCAACTTTTTCCATTTTATCATACAATTTCCCCAATACTGTTCTTGATATATAAAAATATCTATCTTTATCTCATAGATAGATTGTTGATATGATCAGACCAAGATATAGATAGATTAAATAGATAGATAGATAGATAGATAGATATGAACAAACCAAGATAGGTAGATAGATAGATAGATAGATAGATATGAAGAGACTGAGATAGATAGATAAATAGATAGATAGAGAGATATGATCAGATCAAGAAAGAGATAGATAGATTTGAACAAATTGAGATTGATAGATAGACAGGCAGACATATATATATATATATATATATATATATATATATATATATATATATATATATATATGTAAAATTTAGGTCAGTTGAATCCACTACCTTGGTTTCAACTTTAGGGGTATCCTCAGGCAATTTTTATCAAATGACCTTTCATCAAATAATGATGTTTATCAAATTTTTCTGACGCTTTTTTTTATCAAATGAGGATACTGTAAGGTTGAAACCAGAGTAGCAGATTCAAATGACCTCCTGATTTTTAAAGTTAAATGCTCTACATGTTATTTCATTTTTTTCCCATGTGTATTGGGCACCTTTTTAAGACCTGTTTCCCGGTCTGATTCAACTCTGACCATTAACCTTTTATGCATTATATATATATATATATATATATATATATATATATATAGATAGATAGATAGATATATAGATAGATAGATAGATAGATAGATTCCTTCCTTCCTTTCTTTCTCTTTCCTTTCTTTCTACCTTCCTACATTCATTTATTCATTCATTTCTTTCTCTTTCCTTCCTCGTTTCCTTTCTTCCTTCTGTTTCTGTTTATAGCCTTCTGTACTTTTTTCTTGCTCTTCAGTCCTTCCTTTTCCTTCCTTCCTTCCTTCCTACATTCATTCATTCATTTCTTTCTCTTTCCTTCCCGCCTTCCTTCCCACCTTCCTTCCTTCCTTCTCATCAACCCCCCCCACCCCCTCCTGTGGATGCTATCCTTTTCGCCATCTCTCCTCATCCCAATACTTGGTATCTCTCTTCACATTGCCACTACCATCCCTGACATTCACTAAACCCAAATGAGTACAAATCTAACAATTTGGGTTTCCCTTAATAAACACTCAATGTTTACCTGAACCTAACCTTACCCTTTGTGTGCCCTCTTGCTTTCAACTAATGGTGATGGGCCACCCTGGCCTGTACACCATAAGCCAGGTACTCTTCATTCCATGTTGGTGCCCCCACCTCACTGACTGGACTCCCTTCACTTAGTAGCCAGCCTTACCCACAACACACAGTGTGAAATGCAGTGTTTGAATTCCTGATGGTTTATTTAAATAGCTTCTCATTTCTTATTTGCTGTGCTTAAATCCAGAATAATTCCTTTGCAGTCAAGCTGAGAAAATTGTTGAAGGAATTGACTTGGGACTTGGTTATAGGGATTGGAGGGCAAGGAAATAGTCTTCAATAAATGAGTTATTAGTTTACATGGCCACCTGTCTCCAGTCTATCATCCATTTCAGGCTTTGAAGTGTATCTTTGAGGTGTTGGTCAGTTTAGGCATATATATTTCTTTGAATAAAACTGAACAAAATGTTCAGTTTTATTCAAAGAAATATATATGATATTAACAAAATGGTTAATTTTCTCCTTTTTTCCTTATTGCATATGTAATAATTTTTACTCTGACAACTTTTTTCAGCTATTATCAATAATTCATTTACCAGATTGTCTTACATACATATATAATATGATATATATATATATATATATATATATATATATATATATATATATATAGGATTGGTGTATATGGAATAAATTCCAATAACCAAAAATACTATTCTTAAAAGAGTGGTCAATACAGAGTAGAGCAAATATAATTTATTCGAAAAGTGATGGTGTTAAATGCCATTCAACTTGATAAGACACCAGAAGTGTTGAAACAAAATGGCTATTTTTGTAGTGATTTTATAACATATTTATGTTATAATTTTTGAATAAATTATACATATATATATATATATATATATATATATATATATATATATATATATAGTACAGGTAATATCTCCATTGGTATATAATCCAGGTGATCCTAGTAATATCCGATATTAAAACTAAGAGAGCTCAATATATTTATTATAACAGAGCCTATATATTACAAAGCAAAAAATCCAAATCATGTCGGTATAACCTATTTCAACCAGTAATATGTGTGTGTGTGTGTGTGTGTGTGTGTGTGTGTGTGTGGGTGGGTGGGTGTGTGTGTGGGGGGGGGGTGGGGGGTGTGTGGGGGTGGGGGGTGTGGGGGGGTGGGGGGGGTGTGGGGGGTGGTGGGGGGTGTGGGGTGTGTGGGGTGTGGGGGTGTGTGGGGGTGTGTGTGTGTTGTCTGGCAACATTGTAGCACTCTGTATTTGGCTCTTCAAAAAGTGTGGATGGTTCTGCACAAAGCCTTCACCACTATAATCAAATCCTGTGCAGGTGTTTGGCTGTTGGTTCCAAGGAACTGAATTGCTTGACCCTCATGCATCAAAAGAATGATGAGAGAGTCCCTTATATATATATATATATATATATATAAATTTGCAATCTTTTATCTCTCTTTCCTTTTCTGTCCCTAGTTATATACCATCATTAGCTTTAATTGAAAGCTAAAGGATTTAAAATTTACCATTTCCACTAAGCAAAATACTCTATGGTGTATTTCAAACAGAAATTATATGGATCAGAATCGATATTTTTTTTCAGTAAAACTCAATAAAAAACGGCCATTTTTGACACCTTTGTGAATATAAGTTAATTCTCAGTTTTAAAAATCTTGCAAAATTAAAATATATATTTGGAAACTTTATTTCAGGAAAATTAGCAGATTTAAAGTTAAATTAATCTGATTTGAAATATTATTAACATATAGCATAAAATGTTGTATATAACCATTTCTTAACCACAGGATCATGTTTCTCTGATGTGTTAATTGATTTATTGACAGATAATGACTGTGGAACATGTTCATAGTTAAGTATGGTGAAGCAGATGATAAAGTTTATATGAGGGAGTTTTTTTCCAATGTGGAGACAACTCTTCAACCACCTGACCTTTTAATGATAATGCTATATGTTTGAACATATATGCTTCAACATTCTGCATGAATATCACATATGCAAAAACAAATCAAAATTCTTTTGAAAATATTCAGGTTCATCAGATTGTAATAAGCTTTACAATATATGATTAGTAAATATAGTTTTACTTAATAACAATATTTCTTATCACATTGAAATTGAATTTTAAAAGATTTAAAACTTTATAAATTATTCAATTTAAAATTGTAAAAAATAAAAACAAATCTTGTAAAAATTCATTTGTTATTGAAAATTTTTTTTCTTCTGACAATATTGTCTTTAATATATATTATTCATAAAAGCAATTAAAATCTTCACTAATTTAATAATGTCATAGTTTCATTGTGTTATTTATTTTTCAATTTATAACAGATTTTCAATAAGACGGAGTCCGATTTTGCAAAACAAATTTGGTGATTTGAATTTGGAGGGAGAAGAGAATTCATACCTTTTCCAAGTGTATTAGCACGTAAGAGAATGTAATGGATTCGACTGAATTGAACTTGGCTCTCCATTCCTCAATCCAAGCTGCTATCTATTACCCCACCATGCCTCCTAAATATATATATATATATATATATATATATATATATATATATATATATATATATATATATATATATATATATATATATATATATATATATATATATATCCAGATGTAATGAGAATGAGAATAGTGTAAATTCTAACGTTCACAGCAGTAATTCAAAATAGGGATCAATACCTAGAGTAGGGCAATAATTTTTTATTATAGATTTTTACATGTGGACAAAAACAATTCCCTACTGCAAAGCTGTATTCTTGTTTCAATGCTTTATTTGCATCTCGGCTGGTGGGAACTAAAAATGGTTAACTGTTATTGTGAAAAAATTTAAATGCAGTGTCAATCATGATAACTGTTATTTTCATTTCTCCTCACTAAAGTCTTTCTTTCATTCTCAGTAACCCCTTGCATCTTAGTGGAATTTTTTGCCCTGCAAGGATTGAAATGATAAAAAAATATTTTCTTTAAATTCTCTCCCAGTTGCTCGAATGTAAATCTTCTCTCCACCTTTGTGTTCTTCCTTTTGCTGTTACTTTTGTTTAATATAACACAAATTCTTTATAATTTCTCTTTATTGGATGCATTTGGTTTTTTTGAATTTGGAAGAGAGTTCCACAGACGAGAAAAGAAACTATTAGAACATAGGATGTGAACTAGTTGCTAATCTTAGAATCCATGGGGTCAAGCTACCAAGGAGGAAAGCGATATTTATTCTGTTTAATACAGAAATGTGGCACAAGCCCGAAAAGGGGATTGGGGAAAGGACGGTCTTCTTCTGTCTTAACTATAACTTAGCTAGCTGCAAACACTGACCCAATCGTACAAAACAATATTCCTTTCACCAAAACAACACATTCATTCGTACCTTTCTTACTACAACCACCATAATACCTCTTTGTCTCTATGAAAATACTAATTAGTCCCCATATTTACAATTCGTGGTCTGTGGGGGGGAGGGTAATAAAACAACAATTCTAAAAGTTAACCCCAATGAGTATTTACAATATGCATACAAAAACTATTTACAAGAAACTAAAGAAAATAAGATTAGTAATAAAACCCCCCACAATTACTAAATGTGACAGAAACATCACTTCACTGGCCGAAATCAATGCGGGACTATAATAGTATAAACCATTCATTCATCCCAATCACTCACACTGACATGCACTCATTCAGACACA